TCAAACATTACGGGCAAGGTTTTCAAGTTAAAATAGACATGTAAACATTCTAATTCTAGTAGAGAGGCCCAACACACATCAATAAGATACTATCATTGCAAAAGAGTACAAACTATTCAAAAGCAAACTCGGGGTTTCGAGAACTAACCTTCTGTGCCGATTAAAATGTGATCGAAAAGCAAGGCGGCAAAGAAATCCAACTCCGAGCATAAATCAACCAACCAAAATACTAGTGAAATATAAGAATATTGGAAATACTACCTTGGTGTGAGTTTGTGAAGATTAAAAGTGAGGGGAAATTGAAGGATGATGTGCAGCGAAATCTTGGCAGATTTGATGCTTCAAAACGAGGAATTAGTAGTAGAATTAAGTGTGTTTTTGCATACTTTGATATGTTTGTTAATGGTATAGGCAAGATTTGGCGTATGTAGAAAAGTGGAAAAAGAAGCAGAGATTAATGATGATCAAGTGAAGTCCCCGGCTAACTTCACGGAACGTGACCTTTATAACGGTCTATAGTTAAGCTCATGAAACTGAACCAGTGTGAAGGCCTAAGAGGAGCGTAAAGGGAATTGAACAAGTGAAGACCACGAACAACTTCATGGGCTGTGGTCCTCTCCACGGTTCGTCGTGCTTGTCTTGGTGCAGTTTCCAGTGAAGGCATTAAAGAGTGGAAGAAAGTTGAAACCCAAGTGAAGACCACAGACCACTTCACGTGCCGTGGTCCTCACTACGAACCGTCGTGCTTGTCGTGGTACATTTTCCAGTGATAAATTTTGAAGGGCAAATTTTTGGGAAGTTCATGGAAGGCTTCACGGACCGTGAAGCCCTCTACGGGCCGTAGAAGTGGCCATAGAGCCACCCGACATTTCAGTCCTAGCTCGACTAGGACTCATTTTAAACATTCTATTTTTCATTACTTTAGGTCGTTTTTGCAACATTATTCATTATCTTACATTGCAAGACGAAGACCACAGTATTATTTTTAGCTTACAATTTTTGAATCTTTGATTATTGTTATCAGTTGGAAATTTGGATTGAGACTATCAGATTATCAAAGTGATTGTTGATTTGCTAATTATTTTCGTAATTCTTTCTCAATATGTTTTCAGTCCTAATTACTGATTGTTTATGTGAAAGTATGAGTGGCTAAATACCACGACTGGGGTTGTGGGAACTATGACGATATTATAGTTACGATTCTGTAAAATGAGTAAAAGGCAGTCTTTGTGTACAACCTGTAGTTTTTAGCTTTCAATATCATTTTAGTCTAGTGAGTGCAAGTATTAGTCAAGCCTGTATCTGGTATTTGTTCGAGAGAAAAATACCAGTTAGGAAAAAGCTGAATTAAACTAACAAATTGGAGTTAAAGCATGAGTTCGAGAGAAAAGATCTTTACCACCATATCATTTAAAGCGAGGTTCAATGTCAGTAACACTCTATGGTCGAGAGAACATGAGTGATTATTATCTGATTAGGCTGAGAAGCGTTAGATAAATTTAACTCGAAAGGATTCTGTAAACATTGATTTTCCTGACACTCAAATTACAGGAGAACACTAAAACTAATGTTATGGTAAACACAATCCTAGTTTCTCTTAATTAACTGAAAGAATCTTACAACGAAATAATTTGTTAGTCTTGAGCCTGGATTTTGACTGCAAGTTTTGGTAATTATAACAATTCAACTATACCCAATTTACTTTTATTTTGTTATTAGTCTAGGAGATAATAACAACATTCGAATAAACGCGATAGTGAAACCCTATCTGTAAAGAAATTCTCTGTGGGATCGACCTTAAATCTAGTTGAGTTATGTAAATTGAATTCGACTTGTAGTTATATTTCAATTTACTAGCTTTTATTCGATTTGTAGTTATATTTCCTAATTATACGTTTTGTTCTGTGTTTGTGTCTTTTTTAGGTGAGTGCTACTGTGTATGCCAACTACCAGGAGTAAAGGAGCTCCATTGATCCCTTACGACTTAGAACTCCAAAAGACTCTTCGAAGAATGGTGACTGCACAAGAACTTGAGGCACAAAGAGAAAGGTTGGGACTAGAAGCTGAAGTCACTGCAAGAGGTGTTCAACAGAACGGCGGTAACAACCAACCTAGGGTGGTAGATGAGAATAGAGGAGTGGATGGATTGGTCCCTCCCCAGCGCAAACCAATAGCTCCAAGGGGTAGAGCTTAGCATCCAATGCACATGATGTATAATGAAGATGATGCAGATTTTGATGGAGCTGGAGCCACTGGAGTGATAGTGTTACCTGCAATACCTCCAGGTGTTAAGTTCACAATCACCAGCACCATGATTCAATTGTTGAACCTGAAAGGCCTGTTTAGGGGTGCAGCTGGTGATGATGCAAATCATCACCTAATGAAATTTGTGACAATCTGTAAGTCACAAGATATTCCTGGGGTCAACCAAATAGCAATGAGGTTGAGGCTGTTTGCATTATCTCTTACTAGAGAGGCGACTAACTGGTTTAATGAAATGCCAGATGACTCCATCCAAACTTGGAATGAGTTGAAGGAATCTTTCCTGGAATGATTCTTCCCAGAATCAAAAGACGTGCAGATGAAGGACGAGATTAGTACACACAAGTAGCTACCAGGAGAGGCAATGCATGATACTTGGTGGAGGTTCAGCCAAAAGCTGAAGAAATGCCCCAACCATGATCTTACTGAAAGGCATCTTAAACAGGCCTTTTATATGTCTCTGAATTATGTTACTAAACCTGTTGTTGATGTAGTTTGTTGAGGCTCATTTATTAGGAAGCCTTTTGCGGAGAGTGTGCACCTATTGGATGAGGTATCAAAGAACAACAGAGCATGGTACACTAGAGATGCAGAGGTAGGAGAGCTTGGGTATACATTTAAGCTTTCAGCTAAATAGAGGAAGAGAGAAGAAGAAAGAGTCCAAGACATGGCACATATGAGGACTCAAATAGATCTGCTCACAAAGCACATTGTCGCCAAGTCTGAAAAGGTGAACGTCTTAGGACAGCATAAATGGTATGAGGATCAGGATCTTGACCTTGATGAGGAAGCTAACTACTTGGGGAACCAAGGGGGTTTCTGAAATTATAACCCTAGAAATCAAGGTTACAATTATTGAAACGTAGGTCGGAACTATGCTAAGGATGGTCAGTATGAGAGGCCATCGAATAGAGATAAAGGAAACTGGCAAAATAGAGATGGGTATAGGAATGATCACGGTGGTGTTTATGTTCCCCCAGGCAATAGAGACCGGGCAAGTGGTAGTTCCAGCGGATCTAAGCTGGAAGATATAATGGCTAAAGTACTCCAGAAGGTTGAATCAACTGATGCAGGGGTAAAAGAAATGAGAGGTGATTTCTCAAGCATGAGTCAGTTGGTGGACTATCACACTACCTCTATTAAATAAATTGAGCAGCAGTTGGGGCAACTCTCAGCCACACTGAATAAGAGGAAGAATTGATCACTACCAAGTGATACCATTTAGAATCCCAAGAAGGACGGGCACTGCATGGCCATCGCCACTAGGAGTAGTAAAGTTTTACTGACCCTATTTCTGCAGGTACAAAAAATGGACAGATCTTGAAGCAAGCTGACAGAGATAAAGATGAAACTATACAGGTAGATGACTTGGAAGATGATCAGCCTAAAAGTACAACCTGCGAGAGGAAAAGAGAAAGAGGTCGAGGAAAACCTGCCTTTACAGCAGATTCCCATACTACCTCCTCCTTTCCCTTAAAGGCTCAAAAAAAAAAGCTGAAGATGGGAAGTTTACAAAGTTTATCACCATGCTGAAACAACTTTCAGTAAATATACCACTGGTGGAAGCCATGTAGAAGATGCCAGGATATGCCAAATTCATGAAAGACTTGGTTACCAAGAAAAGAGCTGTAAGTTTTGATTTTTCTAACGATGTTCATCATTGCAGCGCTATTGCTACCAGATCTCTGGTTTAGAAGAAAGAAGATCTAGGTGCATTCACGATCCCATGCAACATTGGGTCAATTAGCCATTTACAAGAAGTTGGGATTGGGAATACTAAAACCTACAGCAATGAGGTTGATGATAGCTGATAGGTCAGTTAAGAGGCATGTGGGAGTCCTATGTGATGTACTTGTGAAGGTGGACACCTTCATTTTTCTGGCTGACTTCGTGATCTTGGATTGCGAGGTGGACTTTGAGGTCCCCATCATTTTGGGAAGACCATTTTTTGCAACAGGTAGAGCCTTGGTAGATGTTGAGAGAGGTGAGCTGAAGTTTAGACTTAACAAGGATGAGGTAAAATTTAATATTTGCAGGTCAATGAAGCAACCCAATGATATTAATGTGATATCTGCAATAGAGGTGGTTGTTGATGAGGACATGAGGGTACCCATAGAAGATAGGATGGCGGTTGAAACATTAGCAGCAGTGTTGATGAACTTTGATGCTGATTTCTAGTCTGACTATGTAGAGACTATGAATGCTTTGTAGGGGATGGGAGCACACTCGTATGCTCCAAAGAAATTGGACCTGGACTTTAAAAACAGGCCTAGCCCTCCAGCAAAACCATCCATTGAGGAGCCACCGGTCCTAGAGTTGAAACAGTTACCTAATCACCTCAAGTATGTATTTTTTCTTTACCTTTGATTTTGGTTGCATATTTAAATGAAGAGTAGATGAATGAGGTGATCACGCTGTTCAGAAGGTACAAAAGAGACATTGGGTGGACAATTGCGGATATAATTGGAATACCTCTATGCATATGCACCCACAAGATTCAGCTAGAGGAGGATTGCAGCTCAAGCATTGAATACCAACGGAGACTAAACCCACATATGCAAGAGGTAGTTAAGAAAGAGATAATCAAGTGGTTAGATGGTGGGGTTGTCTACCCCATTTATGATAGTCACTGGGTCAGTCAAATGCAATGTGAGCCCAAAAAAGGCGGTATGACTGTGGTGGCAAATGCCAAAAATGAATAAGTCCCACAAAGACCAGTTACTGGATGGCGAGTGTGTATGGACTACAAGAAGCTTAACAAGTGGACTTTGTGGGATCATTTCCCCATGCCTTTCATGGACCAGATGCTTGATATGTTGGCAGGTAAATGGTGGTATTGTTTCTTAGATGGATACTTTGGCTATAACCAGATATCAATTGCTCCTGAAGATCAGGAAAAGACCACCTTCATATGTCCTTATGGCACCTTTGCGTTTAAACGCATGCCATTTGGACTGTGTAACGCACCAGCAACATTCCAAAGGTGTATGATGTCCATTTTCTCTGACATGGTGGAAGACACTTTAGAGGCATTTATGGATGATTTATCTGGAGTAGGTGATACTTTCGATGATCTTTTGTTGAATCTTAGTAGGGCTTTACAGAGATGTGAGGAGGCCAACTTGGTGCTGAATTGGGAGAAGTGACATTTCATGGTAAAGGAGGGCATAGTTCTTGGACACAAGGTATCACAGAAAGGGATCGAGGTCGACAAGGCCAAGATTGAAGTGATTGAAAAGTTACCACCGCCGATCTGTGTGAAGGGTGTTCACAGCTTCCTAGGACATGCCGGATTCTATAGGCGTTTCATCAAGGACTTCTCCAAAATTGCACACCATATGTGCAAGCATTTGGAGAAGGAGGTGAAATTTGTATTTGATGAGGCATTTCTCAAAGCTTTTGAGTACCTAAAACAAAAGCTGATTTCAGCACCAGTGATTATTGGCCCAGACTGGGCGGAGCCATTTGAGGTGATGTGTGATGCTAGCGGGACTGCGTTAGGAGTTGTGTTGGGACAAAAGCGCAACCAGATGTTCCATCTGATTTACTATGCTAGTAAGTCGCTAAATGGGGCACAAAGAAACTATACAGTAACTGAGCAGGAACTATTGGTTGTAGTGCATGCGTTTCAAAAGTTTAGAGCTTACCTGCTTGACACTAAGGTGATAGTTCATACAGATCATATTGCCTTGAAATATCTTATGGCAAAGAAAGATGCCAAACCCAGGCTGATCCGATGGGTGCTACTTCTCCTAGAGTTTGACTTTGAAGTGAAGGACAGGAGAAGTTGTGAGAACCAGGTAGCTGATCACCTGTCTAGGTTGGAGGCTGCAAAAAAGGATGAAATTGAGCTTGAGATAGATGATACATTCCCCGATGAGCAGGTATTAGTCGCTACTCTTGACCTTTTTCCTTGGTTTGTTGACTATGCTAATTTTCTGGCTAGTGATGTGATGCTTGTAGGGCTGACATATCAACAGAGGAAAATGTTCTTGCATGATGTAGGCAAGTACTTTTGGGATGAACCGTATCTGTACAGGGTGTGTGCTGACAACATAATTAGGCGATGTGTTCCGAAAGTCGGAATATTGCACATTTTGGAGGCGTGTTAGTCATTTCCAATTGGTGGTCATCATGGTGGTACTCGAACAACCCATAAGATACTTCAGTGTCGGTACTACTGGCCCACAATTCATCAAGATGCAATGGACATAGTAAGGAGTTGTGATTTGTGCCAGCGGCAATGAGCTATCTCTTGGTGCCATGAGTTACCCATGACACCTATTCTGGAGGTGGAATTGTTTGATGTGTGGGGTATTGATTTCATCGGCCTCCTTGTGAGATCATATGGGCAGAAATACATACTGGTTGCGGTTGACTATGTGTCCAAATGGGTTAAAGCTGTTGCTGTACCTAAAAACAATGGAAGAAGTGTTGCTGGTTTTCTGAAAAAGAACATCTTCTCAAGGTTTGGAACACCCAGAGCCATTATCAGTGATGGTGGTTCTCACTTCTGCAACAAAGTGTTCAGCACGTTTTTGACCAAGTATGGGGTAAATAAACACAAGGTGGAAACACCCTATCACCCACAAACCAGTGGACAAGTGGAGGTTTCCAACAGGGAGATTAAAGCAATCTTAGCCAAGACAGTTAATGCCAACAGGACAGATTGGGCAAGGAAGCTGGATGATGCTCTATGGGAATATCAGACAGCTTTCAAGACACCTATTGGTATGTATCCATACCAGCTGGTGTTTGGAAAGGCATGTCATTTGCCAGTTGAGCTTGAGCATAGAGCACTCTCGACGTTGAAGAAGTTGAACCTAAATTAGGGCAAAACTACAAACTTGAGGCTGGATCAGATCAATGAGATGGATGAGTTCCGTCTGAGGGCCTATGAGAGGTCTGCACTGTATAAGGAGAGGACGAAGCTATATCATGACAAGCATATTCAGAAAAGAAGCTTCACTCTTGGTGATTTAGTGTTACTCTTTAACTCCAGACTGCGTATGTTTCTAGGACAGCTGAGGTCTAAATGTTCTGGACCTTTTAAGGTCACACAGGTATTTCAATCTGGTGCTATTGAGCTAGAGAATGATAAAGGCGAGAGGTTCAAAGCTAATGGCCAGAGAATCATGGCATATATGGGTGTCCCTGATGATGTGAAGATTGTCGAGGAATGCAAACTTGATGAAGTTTGAGTAATCAAGTAACATGCATCGTGCCGCGACGTTAAATTGTGCGTTGCTTGGGTGGCAACCCAAGATGTGATTGTAGTAGGTACTTTCTATTTTCTTTATATCTCTTTGATTTTATAGAGTCATTGTGTGTTGATGTGTGCAGGAGAGAATGGGTTATAAATTGCAGGAACTGGGTGCAGACTGTCCTTCACGGGTAGTCTCACGGATCATGGTACTATTCTTGGGCACTCTCACGGTCTGTCAATTTTAGCATCAACCTAAAGGAGCTACTGGAATTTGCAAGAAAAAAGTTCATGGAAGGGTTCACGGTCCGTCATGTTTTGTACGGACCGTCTAACCTCTCGTGAACCACATGTAAGTATTTTTCTCCCCAAGTTAGTTCAACGGACCACCACACGGACCGTGGTGACCTTCACAGGCACTTTCACGGTCCGTTGTCCACAACCCAGTCCTACCAAGACCCGACCCGACCCGCGATGGCATCAAATTTTTACAAGAATGGTTTAAATAATTCCTAAAAAACCAAAGCTCAGGGGTTTTCATTTTCGTCTCTTCCATAACGGTTCTTAAAAGTTATAAAGCGGTTCTCATCATCCATAAATTACAAATTCATCAAAGATTCCAAGCCCCAATCCTAAGTTATCAAGGACCTCAAGTCGCAATCACTGATTCATCCTTCTACGTAAAATTTGTTTTTGAACTCCAAGTAAGTTCTTTCATCACTTTCCATAAGGTCAATCTTGTATAAAAGTGAGTTGAGTTACTTGGATTTAGTCGAGTTTAGTATAAGCATGTAAGTTACTTGTCATTTGTACTGATGTGTTGTGGGTTAAGTAGAATCGAGTATTGTTTATTGTTCTTGTACTTGGGTATGTGTGAATTTTTTAGGGTAGTTTTGTATTGATGTTTGGTTGTGGGAATGATAATAGGGGGTTGGCTTCTTGATTGTCTGAGTTGGTTGTGAAGTCTAGGACAGTGATTATGTTGATTAGGAATTGAGATGATGCTTTAGGTAAAGGCAGGTTGTGCATTTGTGTTAAAATAGGGGTTAATTGCTGGAACTCGGTATTAGGACGAAGACTCGTGAACTGCTGGTTAAGTGTAAGACCACGACCGGTTTCACGGACCGTGGAAGAGACCACGGTCTGTGAAACCTGTCGTGGACCACACTTGCATCAACCCATCCATACAACAAAGTTCACGGGCAGTGTCACGAACTGTGATGCATTACAGGGGCCGTGAAGCTGTCCGTGAACATCCCTCTGTAAAAAGTTCACAATCGCACGACTAATTTCAGGGTCCGTGGTGCATACCACAACCCGTATAAGTTCTCGTACAGTCTACTTTAGTATAAAATTATAAAAATTTTCTGTATTCAGCTTTTATTCATCGTTTGTTCTGTGTCCCTTCTCGATGATAGATTGGGTGACGACATTCTTAAGGCAAGGCGTCATGATGATATTACACAGGGGAAGTCTGAGTAACCGATAGTGCGTCATTTGATTGTGTTGATTACTAATGAGCTCTCTATTTCTCAGGTACAATGGGTCCCAGAAGAAATAAAGCTAACAAACCTTCCCCCGTCATCGCTTCACAATCAGAAGGTCATAATGACTCCGAAGCAAGTGGGTCTGAGGTGCAAATAAATGTTACACAAAAAGATCACTCGCCTCGGGATACTAGATCATTGGCTAGAAGATCAATTCTCCAACACTTTCCTCCTGAGGCCGAAGAGGGAGGTAGTAGTTCTGATAACATAGAAAACTCGGGAAGTAAATCTGATGCTGCTGATGGTAGCCAATCTGCAGATGACTCGGGGAGCAGTACTGAATCTGAAGGCGGTTCTCATGACGACACAAGTACCTCTCCACCTATGGATAATACAGAAACTGAAATTGAAGCCTGAGAGAAAGCGATTAATAAAGAGGATGAGGAGGAAATCACCGATAATGATACCATGGTAATGTATGTGAACGCTCAGGAACCTTACCCTGCATTGAGACCACAGCTTATTTCCTGTTATCGCTCCATGTGGACTGTTAACCGGTCTAAAGAGTTCTTCAAAAATGGCATTGTGAACAAAATTGGAGGCATCAAGAATCGAGCAATCATGCTTGAGACTAGGGTGGTGGAAGCTGACATCAAAGAATTCCCGGATATCTATCGGATATTTCAGCTCCATCAGTTCAAATGGATGGACAATGCACCTGGCGAATACTCTAGCCACTTGACCAGAGAATTTTATTCCTCTTATGCAGCTACATTGATGAATTTTGTTGCGGATACAGAGACCATGAAACGTGGACAGAAAGACATGGCTATTACCTGGGTCCACTTAACTCAATCATAGTCAGGGGCAAATCAATAGATATTTCTGAGGCTTCGATTAACAGAATGTTCTATGACCCGCAATTCTCTACACCAGTTTCAGTTGGCCTTTTCGAGGGAAAACATCAAAAGGTCACCAGTGATGCCACGATGGAAGATCAGAATTCTTGAGAAAGGGTTTTACGTCGGATTGCGAAGCAGATTGCCATAGATGGGGAAAATGTTGTTTAGGTCACCACAACTCCAACACTCATCACTAAAGCTTCGTTGTCTTTTCCAGCCAAGGTTTGGTGGCCTGTCGTCCGAGCACAATTGCGACCGACAGCTAATGATAACAATTTGTCACCTTCTCTGGCCTCGTTGGTAGCCTATCTTATGGTTGGTTACCCGATCAATGCATGACAGATAATAGCAATCGAGATGAGAGAAAGGGCGTTAAATGAGAGAGTTGCACTTCCTTTTCCCTGTGTGATAGGGAAATTATGTCGAGGAGTGAACATTCCTCCGAACAGCCTGGTTGACAAATGGGGTGAGGCATTCAGACTAGCCCAGGTTTCTAAAATCAAGGATGTTGCAAACCATCTCTTTGGCGCGAAGTCTGCCGCTGTGAGTACTTT